TAAATAATTTGCCTTTGTTTTATGTTATTGTTGATATGTTATTTAACCTTTTAATTTAAAAAAAACACCAAATGGTGCACAGAACCATTATTTGGTGTATTTTGTAAAAGGGCAAAAACTTAGTTATCAACATCCTAATACCATTCGATAGGTAATTAAAAATTGCATTTCCTGGTTAGCTAAAAAATATGGGGTTGTATTTAAATTAATCAAGTTATAGCCACTTAAAGTTCTTATTTGATTAGTTTAAATTTGTGGACACCCTGTATAAAATGGTAAGTTTATTATCATTGGGATATAAAATATGATTTCTTGTTACACCAAACTACGAATTACATTTACATAACTTAAATAATTCTAAAGTATTTGACACATGAAAATAATATTAGATTTTGATAAAATTCGAATGATTTAAAAAACCTGTAGATTTAGACATTATAAATCTTATTAAAACAAACACGTATTTTGATCAGAGAATCCGAAAATGCAATAATATATAGGGTATTTCATTTTAAAATTCACAACTTTGATACTTTTAGGGCTTTTGGGATAATCTGTATATTACAAAAATATTTTTAAAATGTGCACCCGATAGACTTCTCTGGATTCATCAAATAGTACTTTGCAAAACCCAAACGGGCTAGCCGCAAACGTCCGTGCCGTATAGCGTGAATAACCCTGTACATAGCGTTTCCAAATAAGTTATCCATATATCAAACTCGCACATTACAAGTGCTCGGTATATAATAGCTCACTTCTCGACCGGGGTATATAATATATGAGTAATACTATGGCAAATTAGAGAATTCATGCTGATACATGCACGAGAAAAATGATTATTTCTTCTCAATGAACTGAGCAAGATGAACAAGAGTTGTGTTTTATTATTTAGTTTGAATTTCGATTGAGTGAATTGCGTACATTTTTCAATTTAAATGAAATTTGAGTCCACCTTCGCTTAGATAATGTGCAATACTGGTACATGTTGGGGCAATTCGGCTATTTTTCTCTTCCGCGATACAGCAATCAGCTGATCGACCTTGGGGGCGACCCATTGACGGCGTGGTCGCCCTGAGCGTCCTTCGGCCCCCCATCAGGGCCGCCTCTCACGGGTGGTCTTCGTTGTGCCCATTCGGCTTCGTGTGTGGCGGTGGCACGGGTTTGTCATACGTCCCGCGCGCGGCAAAGAAACCACGATGAACTAAAGTCTTTCAGTTTCGCTTTTAGGGTTGTTTATATCTATTTTGTTAATTTCA